AGCTCAGGCACCCCTATCGACACCAGAATGGAGGTACGCAGACAGCAAGGGACCAACGAAAAGATACAAAAAAGAAAAAAAAGAAAAAAATGAACGTCCACACCTCTATCTCTGCGGCTCTGTCAGGCGTCCGTGGCTGCTCTGATCCTTTCCCCGCTTGGCCCCACACAAAATGGCGCCTCCTGGAGCAGCTGAGCGTCCCGAACCAGGAAGCAATGGATTTCTTGCTTCTGCCACAAACTCCCGAGCTGTAAGTCTTCCAACCTTCTAAATATTCCTTTATATGTAGTTCAGAGTACGGGGACCATTCCCTGAGCCTGCTTGGTCCTGTAGTCTGTGTTGTTCTCGGCAGAGCTCGTCACTACACTGCCACCCAATCCGCCATCTTTTTCTGGAACGCAGACATTTTATAAGTGGAGGGTCAACAAAAAAGAGAAATATTCCCAGTGAGGTGGATGGACACACAAACATAGCAATTAGGGTGCCACATGACTGGGCAATGTTTCTTTCTGTTACACATAGGATTGCTCCCAGTCAAAGTGGACTTGATAAACTGCATCTAGCAACAAACGCAGCAGCGTCTTCCTGAATGATACAGGGGTCTTAGAACCACGTGTTATTTCTGTCCAGTAATTCAGTTCCATTACAGATGCCCGGAGATCCACCGGCAAGCTTTCCCAGTTCTTTGTTCTCAGTGATTCCTTGCCTCTCCTACTGCATTTGTTCAAATGTTTCCATCTTCCTGAAATGTATCCAGTAGTTCTTTCCCCAGGGTCTGTTTTACCCTCAATCTTAATGATAGTTTAGCTGGCTGTAGAATTCTCAGTTGAAGGCTGTTTATCTCAATTTAGAGATACTATTTCATTATCATCTTGCATCTCTTGAAGCTTGGGAGAATCCATTGTCACTCTTACTGTTGGTCTTCAATAGGTTGTCTGCCACTTTACTGGATGTTTTTATAATCTTTGTGTCATTGATGGTCTGTAGATTTGCTCTGAAATGTCAAGAGTTGGACAAAAAGGTTGAACTTTACGTGTTCAGGACTCATTTTTCCTGAATCTGACAGTATGTGTCTTTATTAACTCAAGACCGTTATTGACCATTTGGGGTCCTGGTGTGGCACTACAGAATAAGCAGTCGACCATAAGGTCAGTTTGAACCTCAAGGTTGGCAGTTCAAACTTACCAACTGCTCCTTGGAAACCCTATACAGGGTCACTGTGAGTTGGAACTGACTCGACAGCACTTAACAACAACAACATTGGACTGTTGCCTCTTCCCTCTTCTATCCTGGAATTACACATAAATGAGAATTTCTTAAGACTTTCTTCTGTCTTAAAACTTCTTATATTTTCTATCCCTTTGTCTTTTGAGCTGCTTTCTAGCTAGTTTCTTTAGCTTCTCCTCTATTTTACCATATCTCTCTTTAATGCAATAGACCACAAGGTTGGTATGAACCGTAAAGTCGGCGGTTCAAATTCACCAGCCACTTCTTGGAAACCCTATACGGGGTCACTATGAATAGGAACCAACTCAATGGCACTTTACAACAACAACAACAATTGAGTCTTTAGTTTCACTAATTTGAAGTTAAATTTCACTTACTTTTCATTTATAGGAGTTCTGATTGGTTCTTTTCTCATATTTGCCTATTTTTCATCACATTGTGGGGGCTGTTTTGGTTTTAATTTCTTTGCTGTATCTGTAATCCTTTCCAGCATTTTTATTTTACAATTTTCCCTGGATTACTCCACTAAATGAAGTCTGTGCCTGTTGTTACTTTGGTCAGTTGCGTTTTATCCCCGTAAATTCTACTGTGTTGTTGTTGTATGTTCTCAAGTCAATTCTGGCTTATACGACTCTGTATAGCGTTTCTGAGAGTAGCTGATGGGTTTGAGCTGCTAACCTTGAGATTAACAGTTCAGTGCTTATCCTACAGTGCCACACCAGGATTCCAAATTTCCATTAGCACAACTTTATCTGTGTGGTTTCTGGGTGTTCTGTATTTCTAAGAATCCCTCTAGAGTGGATTTTCAAGGGCTTATGTCAAAACACCTGATACCATATGTCAAACACCAGCCTGATACCATGTTTTTTGTTAAGAAGTACCCTGACCATGTAGGTTATTGAAAATTCAAATACCAGATACAGGGCTCTGCAGGTTCTGATCTTCTATGCGGACTGACTTCTGGAGTCCTGCTAAGGACATGGACAGCCAGCCACACAGCCTTGAGGTTGGTCTGGGGCAGAGGAGCAAACAGAACCTGGAAATGAGCTTGTAATTCCTGCCCCCATCTTGGCCAAGTTGGTAAGAGAGAAGTGCCAGGGAGTGGGGGTTTGGCATGGATGCTCTAATTAATTCTGAGCAGCCGGCAGCTCCAACCTCAGTCCTCATCTCTGACCAGCTGTCCCCTGCCCACTGAGCCAGCAGGAGCCACTCTCAGGGGCAGCAGGCAGGAATCCAGCATGCCCACATAGTGTCCATTCTCAACAGGAGGAGGAAGACATTCTTGGCCATTTGTTCCTAGGGAGGTGCCCTTGATGCATAGGAATGTCTGGCTGTGTTCAAGGCACCTTACTAAGCAAGATCCGGGCACTGGAGAGGGTTAAACCGTATCCTACTCTCTAGGGCTGGCCACAACAGGGAGAGCATAACTTAATACTGAAGGGCCCAGGCCGGACCATGGGATTCCCAACACACACCCCTTCCATAATTCCCACCTCTATGAGAACCCATGTGTGGTTCCTACTGCTGCAGAGACCCTACCTCCTCCCTTGCCTCCTTCCCTCACACTCTTGTCCAGGGAGATATTGGACCCTCTGGGTATCTGTTCGCCGAGGTCAGGGGTTAGTGCTGTGCTGGGGTCAGAGCAGGCACTTCCTGTCAGTTCAGGAAACTGAGGCCAGGGAGGAGGAGAGCTTGTGCCTTAATGGTGAGTCAGCAGTGAAGGGGAGAGAGCCTTTGCCTCGTGGGGTGAGGTGGGCCCAGCAACTGTGCCCAGGTGCATGGTGACCTGAGCCCCCCGAGGACTGTCCTTACAGGCTGCAGTGTGCCTGCCAGCACAACACATGTGGGAGCTCCTGTGATCACTGCTGCCCCGGCTTCCACCAGCAGCCATGGCGGCCAGCCACCACCGACAGTGCCAACGCGTGTCAGTGTGAGTGTCCAGCCCTGCGCTCACGTGTGCACTGCATACACGTGTACACACACGTGTTGGCATGCCTGGGCTGCCACGTCTCCCCCTAAACCAGCCAACCTTCGGGATCATCGTGGTTCATGGGGTACGGGAGTAAAAGCCAGTGCACCGGGGGTCATGGTGGGCTTGCCCGATAGCTGAGCCCTCCTCTCCCCAGCCTGTAACTGCCATGGCCACACCTACAACTGCTACTACGACCCCGAGGTGGACCGGAGGAACGCCAGCCAGAACCAGGACCTCATCTATCAGGGTGGGGGTGTCTGTATTGACTGCCAGGTGTGAGACCGCCCTTCGGGTCTGCTGCCGGGAGGCCTGGCATGGGCGGAGCCTGCGTGGCATGGGCGGAGCCTGCGTGGCATGGGCGGAGCCTTGTGGCAAGAGCGGAGCCCACGTGGGAGGTCAGATGGGCGTGGTTAAGGATGGTTCCCAGCACTCAGTGGCCCTTGAACTCCCCGCCCTAGCACCACACTACCGGCATCAACTGTGAGCGCTGCCTGCCCGGCTTTTTCCGCTCCCCAGACCACCCTCTGGACTCGCCCCACGCCTGTAGCCGTGAGTATGGCAGACCCCTGGGGCCTCTTTGGGCTGCAGGGTCTGCCCGAGTGGGATGTCCTCGAATCACAGGGGGCTGCCGGGAGGGGGTGTGCCTAAGCCTGGGCTCTGCCAGGATGGGGTGTCCCTGGGTCTGGGGTCTGCCGAGTGGGGTGTACAGGCCTTGGAATGGGTGAAGGGATGTCCTGGAGTCTCTGGTTCCCGGGTGCCCTGCGCCCCCCACCACTCTGGGGTGCGTGATATCCATCCCTGGGTTGTGGTCTCATGGGCCCTACCCTGGCCCTGCCCAGGCTGCAACTGCGAGTCCGACTTCACCGATGGCACATGTGAGGACCTGACCGGCCGCTGCTACTGCCGACCCAACTTCACAGGGGAGCACTGCGACGCATGCGCAGAGGGTTTCACCAACTTTCCACACTGCTACCGTGAGCACCTGCGTGGGGATGGACCCCAGGGCCAGCAGGGGGCGGGATCTGGGTGGGCCCTAGGACCAGCAGGAGAGGGGGTGGGGTGGACCCTAGGACCAGCAGGAGAGTGGGTGGGTGGACCCTAGGGCCAGCAGGGGGCGGGGTGGACCCTAGGACTAGTAGAGGGGTGGGACTGGGAGGAGGGAGGGTGTTAGCATCTTCCTGCGCTGCTAGTTCACCAGCTTCCCGCACTCCTCCCATGAGCACGTCCAGGGCGATGGATCCCAGGACAAGCTGGAGGAAGGGTGTCGGGGAGAGAGAGGGCAGGCAGAGTGGCATCTGGGCCCACCAGACCAACTCTCACTGTCTCTCCTAGCTGTGTCTTCGTACCCCCACAATGACACTGGAGCACAGGTGCTGCCAGCTGGACAGATCATCAGTAAGTGTCCCCTGAATCCTCGGGGAGCCGAACCTGCCCAGGAGCTGCTGGCCCCATGGGAAGGCCCCCTAGAGGGGGAGGGCTTTTTGTTTTAGGTCACCATGGTTTGGGCTCTTCTTGTGCAAACAATACCTGGTCACAATGGAAAACCTTCAGAAGTATAGGTGAGGCTGGAGTGGAAGGCAAACACTGTCCAAATGCGCTGGGGGCCCTGCAGATAAGGACCGAGCAATGTGCAGCCTGGCTTTCTCTCTGTGCCCTCGCCCGGCCTGCCCACCTCAGTTCTGTAAACATATGGCCTCACAGTCCCCATTATGTCCATGTAGTATTTATTAACCAACCCCTGTCACTGGAAATGTAGGTCCTTTCCAATTTAAAATAAATAAATATGGCTAGAATAAACATCCTGTGACTCGGATGTTGCACAAATCCTTAATGATTTCTGCAAGGCAGTTTCCTGGAAGAGGGCAGTGGGCTACTCGATACGCACTTTGGGGGACATATTTGGCTCTAAGTTGCCAAATGACTCTCTTTAAAAAGTCATCTGGGAAGAGGAGAGTTATTGCTTAGCAGACACTGAGTGCTCAGGTGATGGGAAAGTTGGAAAGAAAGGTGATGGTTGTATGCCCAGGGAGCAGCACTCACATCATTGATGCAGCTGCTTTGTTATCTGTGTTTCTAGTTTTTTATCACATAGGAGTCCTAGTGGTGCAGTGGGTTAATCTCTAGGCTGCTGAAAGAAAGGAAGACGGTTCAAACCCACCAGCCACTCCCAGGAGGAAGATGAGGCTGTCTGTTCCCATAAAGATTTACAGCCTCAGAAACTCTATGGTGGTGGTGGTGGTGTGCCATGGAGTCTGTTCCGACTGTAGGGTTTCTGAGGCTGTAGATCTTTAGGGGAGCAGAAAGTCTCATCTTTCTCCCATGCAACAGCTGGTAGTTTTGAACTGCTGATCTTGAGGTTAGCAGCCCAACTTGTAACCACGACGCTACCAGAGCCCCTTCAGAAACTCTATGGGCAGTTCTAGTCTGTGCTGTGAGAAAGAATCAACCCAACGGCTTTGGTTTTTAATGTCACCTTAGCAGTGTGCACACACGCGTATTGACTCTCTGCTGCCACTAGGGGACAATGCTCCTTTATTGTCATTTTGACAGAAAGCAGCTCCATCTCTCAGAAACCTGGTTTCCACTGTTTGGCGTTTCTGAGCTGGGATGGGTCTTCCAGAGATAAGGAGTCAGAGCCCCAGTGACAACGAGGTTTCCTTTTGTGAAATAAGGAAAAACCAAACCAGGCCATAAGGTCAAGTCCAACTCCTGCTGACCCCATGTCTGTCAAGAGAAGAGCTCACCGTGGGCTTTCTGTTGCTTTTAGTCAGTGATTGGAATTGTTGTTTAGAATATACACCAAAGAACACACTCCGGTTCAAACGCTGTTACCTGTACAATTCCGTGACGTTGACGTAACTTCAACTTGTTTACGCATTTCCATCCTCCTTTTCAGAGTTGTGCCTTCCCTGTTCACATTAACTCTCTGTTCCCTAAATTCCCGTATAGACAGTTCTTAAAAGAGTGTGAGAGAGGGAGAAAATGTGGAGCAAAACTCAAAATCAGAAAGACCAACAGGAAAAATACATAACAATATAGACCGACTGTTACTACAAGAACAAGGACATTGCTCGCCCAGAAGACATCAAGGCAAGTGGTCGGATCCCCTCAGAGCAAACCCCCTTCTGAGACTAAGACTCAATGGGAATACACACTCTGATTGGTGACCATGTTCATCGCCGATAAGGGGAAGTGAGGGAAAAACAGCAATGAAGTTGCAAGCTAAGCCCTACAACGTTCAGTAGACTCCTGTAACCCGGGT